CTGCCACCAGAGCCGGGTTGATGTGTAAAGTGGTGGCTGGACCAGGAAACGTAGGACTAGGGTGTGTTTTCCTGGGGCTGGGATAGGGCATGTAGCTGAGAGGATAGATAGGGTTTTGTCAGGGGAGGGTATCAATCCAGTAGTGTGTCTTAGTGTCGGAGGAAACGACATAGGAAAGATTAGGAGTGAGGAACTTTTCAAGAGGTATAGGGAGGCTCTGGGGAAGATTAGAGATAGGGGAGGGATCCCGATAGTATGTGGTGTCTTGCCTAGAAGAGGGGTTGGGCGTGAATGGCTGTCCAGGGCAATTGCTATAGATTGCCGACTGGAAAAACATTGTGCAAACAATGGTTGGGCATTCATTGATAACTGACAACGATTCTATGGCAACACTACCTGTACAGTCGTGACGGAGTACACGTGTCTCGTGAGGGGGTAAAGACGTTGTCTGCATCCCTGGAGCGTGAAATTGTTACTCCACAGGGGGGGTTTCGCCAGTAGCGAGAGGTCGGGGTAAAATTGGTTACTCAGGACAAGGGGTAAAACAGGACCAGGGAAGGGTAGGTTTAAATGTATACTATACAAACAGTAGGAGCGTTCGAAATAAAATAGACTTGCTGAGAGCGGTTGTATGTACCGAGAATGTAGACGTCATAGCAATCACCGAAACTTGGATGAATCTGGCGAGCAACGACAGGGAAGGTAGGAAGGAGGGAGGGGTCGCACTCTTCGTCAAGGATACATTAAAATGTTGTATTAATAATTCAATAAAGGGTGAAATAGGAACCGAGTCTGTATGGGTAGAAAACACGGAAGGAATAGAAAAACTAATTATGGGAGTGATTTACAGGCCCAAAGTCTTGGCAAAGAAGCAGCTCAGCCCATATGGCAGGAAATGAGTAGGGCAGCAAAATATAACAACCTGTGCATTATGGGGGATTTCAACTTCAGAAATATTGACTGGGGCAACATTGTAGGTGACTTTGAATCTGAAGACTTCCTAGACGCAGTACAGGACAATTTTTTGAAACAACTAATTACACAACCTACTAGAGGTGACAATATATTAGACATAGTATTAACAAAAAAAGAACATATTATCAGAGATATCACAGTAGGGGAAGAACTAGGGAACAGTGATCACAGAGAAATCAGGTTCACCCTAAAATGGGAAACGAAAAACAATGACAATATGGTCAGAGTCCCAAACTTTCGGTTGGCGGATTATCAGGGGTTAAGAAGGTACCTAGGTGAGGTCACCTGGGAACAGTCATGTCAGTCACCAGTAGGATGGGGTGAGGTCATAGATGACACAATAATTGATCATGAGACAACAATTGATCATGACAATAATATATTCACTAGTATACTACATAAAGAACAAGAACAAAATATACCATACAGAAAATTAGGTCAAATAAGAATGAGCCAAGGTGGATGACTAGAAAACTTAAACATGACATAGGAATAAAGAAAAGAATATATAAGAAATTAAAAGGAGGGGAGGAGCAGCTCAGAAATAGGTATAATGAACTATCTAGGAATGTTAAGAAAAATGTAAGGAAAGCAAAGAGAGACTATGAAATCAAAATAGCAAGAGAATCCAAGGCGAATCCCAAGGGATTTTTCCAGGTATATAGAACAAAGGTCAAGGACAAAGTTAGGCCTTTAAAGCCAGGGAGGAGAGAAGTGGTAAATGGTAGTGAGGAATAAGCAAAGCATTGAACAGCTACTTCTTATCAGTTTTCACAGAGGAAACTTGTAATGAAATTCCAGAGGTGGAACTGATATTTTAAAGAAAGGAAGAAGAGAAATTAAAGAATATCACTATCAGAAATGAGGATGTTCTTAAGAAGATAAATAAACTAAAGAAGACAAAATCCCCAGGGCAGGATGAATTTTTCCCTCGAGTCTTGAAAGAGTGTAGGGAACAGATTAGCGGACCCCTCGTAAACCTTTTTACAAAATCATTAGACACTGGAGTTGTGCCAGACTTGTGGAAACAGGCAAATGTAGTACCCATATTCAAAAAGGGAGACAGAGCATCAGCGTCAAATTACCGGCCTATCAATTTGACGTCAGTAGTGGAGAAATTTCGCGAATCAATTATAGCAGATAACATCCGATCGCATTTAGAGAAAAGCAAATTAATCTACGACTCTCAACATGGGTTTACAAAGGGAAAATCTTGTCTAACAAATCTGCTGACATTTTTTAGGAAAGTCTTCGAGGTAGTAGATAATGACGAAAATTACGATGTTATTTACTTAGACTTTAGCAAAGCATTTGACAGAGTACCGCATCAGAGGCTTCTGAGAAAAATTTAGGCTCATGGTATCGAAGGGAAAGTTTTAAATTAGATACACTCATGGCTCACCGATAGAACACAGAGGGTCAGCGTAGATGGTGTTAAATCTGAGTGGTGTCGTGTAACCAGTGGGGTTCCCCAGGGGTTAGTACTTTAGGCCCACTCTTGTTCATAATGTACATAAACGATCTAGATACTGGGATCAGCAGTGACATATGCAAGTTTGCGGATGACACCAAAATAGGGCGGCAGATTAATTCAGAGCAGGATGCAAATGCATTACAGGAGGATCTAAATAAACTGCAGGGGTGGTCTGAAAAATAGCAAATGAAATTCAACACCAGCATGTGCAGCGTACTTAATATTGGAAGAACAAATACTGTCAATGTATACAGCCTTAACAACATCAACCTAGAGAAGTCGACTTGTGAAAGAGACCTAGGGGTAGTTGTAAGCCCGGACCTACGGCTTAGAAAACAGTGCGTTAATGTTCGAAATAAGGCAAATAGAGTATTTGGTTTTATATCTAGAAGTGTAAGTAATAAGAGTGCAGAGGTCTTATTGCAACTATACCTTGCGCTAGTCAGGCCGCACCTCGATTATGCGGTTCAGTTCTGGTGCCCTTATTATAGAATGGATATCAATTCACTAGAGTCAGTGCAGCGAAGAATGACGAAAATGATTCCGGGACTTAGAAACCTTCCATATCAGGATAGGTTAAAGAAACTAAACTTGCATTCCCTAGAAAGACGAAGAGTGCGGGGAGATATGATTGAAGTATTCAAGTGGGTGAAAGGAATCAATAGAGGTGATATAGATAAAGTTCTTGTAATATCCCAGCAGGATAGGACTCGGAACAACGGATTCAAGTTGGATAAGTTTAGGTTTAGGAGGGAGATAGGAAGGAACTGGTTTACAAATAGGGTGGTGGACGAGTGGAACAAGCTTAGCAACTTTGTAGTAAGTGCTGGAATGCTGGAAAGTTTCAAAGGGAGGCTGGATAGATTCATGGATGATAGAGAGTGGTGGTAACTCTCGACAGGAGCTGCCATGCACAGGCCAACCGGCCTATTGCAGACTCCTTATTTTCTTATGTTCTTATGTTCTCTATCGTGGAGTCTCAGGGGAATTATCACTGGGTACCTAGGACCTCACTATGTGAAGGTTAGCTTGGGTAAGACTCAACTGTAACTTATGAGTTTTTTTTCACTGACTTAAGCACTGTTCACCACTATTCAACACTGGTTCCATTCCTTTTCCAAATGAAATAGTAACTTCTGGCGAGAACTTGTTGATATTCCGGTGGGGAGGAGGGTTCAGGGGAGGGAGTTGGTATGGGCCAACATAATAGTTGACGTAGCTACTGCTGAGTAGCGCCACGTGCGTCTGACCCGTCTTGACCCGTCGGTGGTCAAGGATGAAGTGTGTTCCTTTGAGTGTTATTGAGATGAAGTACATGTACAAGACAACATTTATTAAGGACATCACTCAAACGTTATAAACATGGAGAATTTACACCCTCCTGATTGGATCATTTTAAAAAAAGGCAGTGAAATCTCATTCTCTTTTGTATAAACGTAAACGTTTTTTAAATCAAGTCGCCAGAGAGTTAATTCGTATTCAATTACAAATTTCTCAAGATTGTTTGGGTGGTACATATTACGATATACATCCGTATAATGTGTTCATCAATTTATCTTCAATGCCATTGAGGCTGAAGTTCATTGATTTTGGGGGGTTGTATATTCCTTCAGAAAAAGCATTCATTCTTCCTCCCCACTACCACACTTCTTTAAAGAGACTAAAAAAAGAAACAGACGACTCTTCACAATTTTCACCAATCTTATCTACACCCAATATAAGAACAACAATAACTACAAGGAGCACTATACAGGTACCACCACCACCACCACCACCCCCAGCACCGCCACCACCACCACCACCACCACCAAATAATTATTGTAATGCTGACCAGTTCTTACGTAAAAGATAATTTATCTGACCCATTTAATAACTACACTAATATATATATATATATATATATATATATATATATATATATATATATATATATATATATATATATATATATATATATATATATATATATATATATATATATATATATATATATATATATATATATATATATATATATATATATATATATATATATATATATATATATATATATATATTTATTTATTTATATATATTATATATAAATGTTACGTTTTTTGTGGAAACGGTTATTTAGCAAAATGACCGTCATGCATATTGGTAATTTGGAAAATAGTTTATTGATTTATTATTATAGTTATAGCTTTTACACACACACACACACACACACACACACACACACACACACACATACACGCACACACACACACCAATATTTAAATATATAATTATCATAAGAAATTATATAAACTATAGAAAAATTTACGTGTGCAAACTTGTTTGGAAGTGGGAGTATATATCTCCATATGTGTGAACTCTTATAATTAACTATATTTTCAATGTTTAAGAAGCTGTATAAAGTGTATCATATTTGGTTCTTAAAAAATAATTAATACCATTTACACACGATCCGTCTATCGAAATTCTGTTTCATCACGCATGCGGCGTCTGCGCGTTCTTCCTGTTGCTGATTATAAAGGTCTGAGACTGGGTGAAGTGGGGACAGTTACCATTCTTCATCCCAACGAAACGTTTCTGGCTTCTTCTAATACGCCTCTTAGGTAAAGTCATAAGATATTTTGAGTTCTCTGGATACGAAGTTGATGAATGTTTTTATTTTTCAAATTAACGGTGTCAAGTCAACCTACGTAATCTTTCAAGAGGTTAGATAGTGTACAAGTGACGAAATATATTGTTTTACGCTAGTTGTTATATTGTGATACATTTTTACAACTATGGTCTTTTAGTGCGTATTCCATCCCGGTGAATACAATAATAATCAATCAATTTCTTAAAAATTAAGAGAGGTAAATCTCTCATTCTTTTTACAAAATGAACAAATATGAATTTGTGGTTGACTGAAGTTTGTATGGTGTTGCCAAGTTTCATATCAAAGGATTTCTCTTTGAAAAAGTTTGCTTTAAGTGCAGTGTAGTTTTCTTAGTTCACTGTCAGGGAAATAAACTTGGAAAAATCACCTTTGAGAATTAGGGTATCAAGTAGGAATAAAGATGGAGTCTACAACGCATTGTGTACATTGTTTCTCGTAGGTCACGGGCCATCGGAAAAAATTCACGTAAGGGAATCCTAACGAATCAACGATGGAACAATATTTACACTAGAGGAGAGTCAATTTAATATTCAGGTACAGAAAGCCAGATGCTATACACCGTTCAGTTGCAAAAGAATAAAATCAAAACATCCATATCCCTTGGTGTTGTTGATTAAATTCTTTTGTGTCGCCTTTGATTTTCCGTTTATGAATAATAAAGATTCTTTCCTCTAATGCTTTTTTAGGTGCCATCTTCGTTCACTGTTTATGATTATTTCACCTGAAAAAAAATGAAGAGTCTTAATTTTCCTATGGTACACAACCTTGGAGACACCCTGTAAAAATTCAGATAACATTACTTGTTTTTATAGAATCAATCTCTCCGAGGGTCAATTCATATTACCATCGTATGTACAATCAAAGACAAAAGTCGTGTCGCTGTTTTGTCCAAAGATTAAATATAACTCGTGAAAAATTATGAGAGGCCCCTACCACAAGGCAGAGCGCACCAAAAGTTTAACTCTCCGGCATATGTTTTCACCAAATTTCACAATACGACTTTTTGTCTTTCATTGTACAGTACGTGCATGTGCACCCCCGAAGATGAGAAATACACGAAAGCGCTTAGGAACCTTTAAGTTTTTTCCTATGTGGCTATTAGCCTATACATGGATCAGGTGTACTTACAGTGATATATATATATATATATATATATATATATATATATATATATATATATATATATATATATATATATATATATATATATATATATATATATATATATATATATATATATATATATATATATATATATATATATATATATATATATATATATATATATATATATATATATATATATATATATATATATATATATATATATACAAGTATATCACTGTAGTTGCACGTGATCCAGGTATATGCTGATCCCTCTGACCTGACTACCGACCATTGCTGTGCTTTTTAAAGATTAGTAGGGTCATTACCTAATACCTGACCATTGTGGACTGGGTCTCACCCTCCTCTGTATATATACTGTACACCTTGGTTTGTATTTCTCTTTAGTCTGTACTCACCCCTGAAGATGTGAATTACACGAAAGCTCTTGGGAACTTCGTGTTTTCTTCTTTCCTTGTGGTTATCAGCATATATATATGCATATATATACTAGTAGAATCCGGGCGGCTCATCCGCTAGGCCACGGTAGGACGCCACCCTCAAGGAGGCTCCACATTGTCTCACTGTTCAGTCCCGAAAATTTCTTCCATCAATAGTTCATTAACGGTGTATGTAAGTTCCACCATGTTTTTCACTACAACGGTACAGCAAAGATATTTTTCTTAGCATTAAACTGTTATTATTTTATTGTCTAATCATCACTACATAATAAGGTCACCCGGTATATTTAAGCCTCTCTCTGTCCATGTAATCCAGTTGCCTCTGAAGATGTCTTGAATAAAGACGAAAGTTAAGGTGCTCCGTTGTTTCCCTTTTCCCCGTGTGATTTTATCAAGATTTATCTTATCCACGTTTTCATTGTGAATCTACATGAAATATATATATATATATATATATATATATATATATATATATATATATATATATATATATATATATATATATATATATAATTTTTAGCCATGCGGACTGAGGTCGTTGATTATATGTTCAAAGTCCGCGTGTTATATGGACTAAAAATGAAGTATATATATGTACCTCGCGTTTCATACCAGCTGGATTCGGTAAAATGCTACTGACACCACATAAGAGGCACGGGCAGTTTCCCAATGAGGTTCACGGCGCCATCAGCTCGATGAACAGGCTTTGTGTGAAATATAACAGAGTCTAGAACTGCTTTTAGTGTCCTTGTGGCCTAGCCGGTAAGCGTTCCCTAGTCACACCCAGTAGGTCGAGGGTTCGATTCCTTGCTGGTGAGGTCGTTGATTATATATATATATATATATATATATATATATATTTCATTAGCCCAATAAACACGCGGACTTCTACATACAATCAACACCTCAACCCGCCAGGATTGGAACCCAGAGCCCATAACTGGTGGTTCAGCGGTGAGCGTTCCCCGGTCACAGTCATGGCCTCGTGGGCTGTGGGTTCGAATCCTGGCGGGTTGAGGTGTTGATTGTATATATATATATATATATAATGCGCTAAACAAGGATAACCACCGGGTAATTTATAAAAAGCATCTGGCGTTTTTTGCCAATTAGAGATAGTTCATTGTTTTTAGTGCTATATCAATGACAATTATTTTGCATGTAATAAAATTTGCAATCATTCATTTAAAACGCTGTTTACCGCCATAAAATAAGCAAATTATACCTAAATTAGGTTAGGTAAGGTCCGGCTATGTATGATTAGTTTAGGTTAGATTAGATTAATTTAGGTTTGTTAGGTATTGTACGAAACTATTCAATTATATCTATTAAATGATATGCATGATCGTTTATGGCTAGCAAAAGTTTCTAAACGAGAGAAATAGGTGAAAAATGTATACTGAAATCCTGTTTGACAGTGTCACCACCATGGATAAACGAACTATTCGCTCTCCTTTGATGACTGCTTACCGTGCCAAAATTGTCTGTCTGTGGATCGGTGGCATGCCAGCAAGAGAAATATCGCAGGAGATTGGGATCAGCATCACGACAGTCTATAGATGGATCCGTCGATGGCAGAGAGAAGGTACAATACAAGCAAGGCCGTACCATGGAGAGCCTCTACCGACCTCCTGGGGATATAATACAATCATGTCGTCCACTACACAAACTCAGCCCCTGACTTTATCTGCCTGTGTATTTGACTCTCATCATCCTTACTGCAATGGTTCGGTAGAAGACCCTTACTTTTGGGGCAGTGGACAACACACAGCTTTATATAATTTTCACTGAGCCTAGCACTATCACAATTGACGATTGTTGTACCTGTGTCATACTTAGAAAATCTGACTGAACTAGATAATCATAAAAACATATATAATTAACATAATATTCATAGAATTACACTTAAAAATATCCAACAACTCAGTTTGATTTCGTAACCCACATACTTCTTCATCAAAATATTGTCCCTATTATATAGAAGACAAACATTCCTCACGTGTCTTTACAAAATAACGGGGAACTTTGTTTGTGAATATTGAAACGTGAAGCTTCCAATGCGGTGGAGGATATTGATAAAATAATATGAATTTGAGGTAATGATGCCTTTTCAACGATAATTTTCTCAATATAACGATGAGGTAACGTATCACTCTCGGACTAAACACAGTAACATTCATGTTTGAGCCATTGGCAAGACGACATTGAATTACTTCTGGTTAATTTGGAAATGAAAATTATTAAAAACAATATTTTTTCTCTCTTTCATAAATTCATGAACTTGTATTATGTGGAAATAACAAACGAAATATCGAGAAACATTAAAATATAGATAATTTAAAAATATGTCCTCGCAAGAGTTGACAACAACAATGCAATTAATAACGAGTGAAACGACACACACACACACACACGTGCTTTGAAAAAAAAGACTTTGAATAATGATATCTTATTTAAAGCAAGAGAGGAGAGTAAAAAAGACATAAGAGGAAACCTAAACCTAAACAATTTAAAGAATAGAATGAAGGATTTTCAACGATAAAACGATTTAAAGATGTAATTTATTATACGATAGAAGTAATGAGTAGATAGAATTTGATCATTTGTAAATCAAGGTTGGATTACTTTGTTTTGAGGGATAGGACAATGTGAACTATATCCTCTTCAAGTAGATACGAAGAAGGAAATGCAAATAATTAATTACATACACATACACACATATAGCTTGAAACACTATATAGTTCTCTACTGTAACCTCTCAAGCCAAGGGTGAACTTAACACAATACTACTATTAAGCGTAGAATAAGAATACTGTCTTGTAAGAATCATAAAGAATTGTTTAGTTGCATATTTGTTTTTATTAAGACCCAATTGGTCAGCAATTGTTTCTTACGTTGAATTTTTGATCCCGTGTCTTATTTGATACTAAAATGTTGAAGACGACAATATAGAATACAATAAACAGTGAATGGAAAAGAAAAATTACTGGATATGGGATACAATACATGTAATTCCTTCTATGTATCAAGCATTAATGTGGTAAAACTCTCAACATACGCAAGTTACGTATGTATTTCACCTACTAATTACAGTCTGTATATCCTGTTAATTCCCTGTGAAATAAAACAAAAATATATCAAAGATGTCATGAAAATTAAGAACTAGCGCTTATTTCACCTGATAATTACTTGCTCACAAAACTAAATATGTAGCTGATTTCTTTCTATTATAAGGTGGAACTATGATCTAAAAGTTCACAGTCTACTGTGAAATAAGTGAATGATGTTTAAATGAACTGCAATGAATAAGTTTAACCCTTTGGAGGGCAGGGGTTCTCTCCGCTGAATAACATCGTCTGGTGTGAGCCAGAATAAAATGCCAAAG